GGCCAAACACTAATTATTGCTCAAAAGTGCTTTTCAAATTAATTAGCCAAACACAAACTGCTTATCACTAAATACATTTTTAAAAAAAATATTTTTGAGAAAAAACACTTCTCAAAATAAGCTGATTTTAGAAGCTTGGCCAAACAGACTATAAGCTTTTGTATCTTAAGCTTTTATATCACATGTTTCAATTTTTTTTTCCTCTTAAATTTTGTGCCAAATCAAACCGCACAATCTAAATTAAAACTGAAGTATGTTTTAGAGGTGGGTAAATACACTGAACACTCTTTGTCCAGAAATTCTTTTCACTTTTGCGAAAATTTCTGACCAACTGCGGACACTGATGTGAAAAATAGATAAAAAGACAATGGAGGTAGGAATGGGCAAGTTATGGGTTTCCATGCGAACAACGGTAAGGCTGAAAAGGCTTGTCATAAAACTTATTAAAAAGAAAAATCTGAATAGAATCTTGGAAATGCATTTTAACTTTGAGGATCCAATTTCTATGTCATTGGTGGGACTTACACACACACACAGAGTTCTCTTCTAACAGTACTAGTACTAGTTTGTTTTTTCCTATGTCTCTCTCTTTGTCACTGTTTAATGCTTTTTCCAATCTGTAGTGGTTGAATTGAACTAAAGAGTCCCAAACAACCAAAATTTGTAGTTTTAAAGTAGTGTGCTGCTGTCTGCTTTCTTTTTTTATCTGACATTGCACCTCTCTCTCTCTGTCTCCAATGATCTTATCTCTATTTCTTTCATATTACAGTACTTATTATCTCTCTTTCTACCTCACCGTTTTTAGTAAAAACTAGAATACCCACAAAGCTAAACAATTCTGTCATAGCACTTCTTTAGCTCTGAGCCTGCAAGTTTCTTGAAATAACTAAAGGGTACTCTACTTTTCTTTGTTCTTTTCTCCAGCTTTCTGCTTTAGCTTCTAGCTTTATTTCCATCTGAATTGTTGCTTTTCTTTTTCTTTTTCTTTTTCTCTGTTTGTTTCTTGATGATAAAATTATGAGCTTTGTTGGTTAGTATGTTGTTGTTATAATTATTGTTACTGTGGTTACTAATAAAATGCTTCAACTACTATAACTATTATTATTACGAGTATGATTTTTTAGTTATTAATTTCTCTTTTTGTAAAAATTGGAGCTTTTGGTTTCTGACTTTGGTTTCTTTTCTTGATCTACTATGAGTAGCTTCAAATTTGCTCTTCTGGTGTAGTTTAGGTTCTAGTACTATTTTGCTCTATGTTGGCATATTAATAAATTGGATATGTAAGAAGAAACTGGATTAAGGAATTGAATTGAACTAACATATCAAATTTTCTAAGTGAAACTGTCTGAGAGATGCTAAACTCTTTTATGAAGTTTTCTAGTTCAAACCATAGAGGGTTTTAGATTCTTTACTATGTTGTTGATTATAGAAGGGGAGACTTGGGTTAACTGGTAAAGTTGCTGCCATGTGACCAGGAGGTCACCGGTTCGAGCCGCGGAAACATCCTCTTGCAGAAATGCAGGGTAGATAGTATGCAAACCTTACCCCTGTAGTGAATGTAGAGAGGCTATTTCAGTAGACACTCGGCACGAGGAAAAATAAAAATAGATCCTAAGAAGAAACATCTAGGGTAATTGTGTCCTTTTGCTTCTTCTATGTTTTCCAGCTTTTCAAGAGTTTCTTGAATGAAATTAAGTGTATAGTATTCAAACCAGAAATAAAAGGAGGAAAAGAACCAATGATAGCATATTTTGAACATGGGGTTGTCATTCTTTTGCAGAAGTTTTCTGATATTGCCGTTTCTTCCTTAGGTTCTTACAAAAAATTGAATTTCACTAGCGTTCAAGAAGCTTTGGAGTTCTTCTGATTATTTCTCAAAGTGCAATCAAAGTGAAACTCCATAGGTATTGTACATCTCTTTCAAATATGATTTAAATAACCATTACACTATCTTGTTGAACTAGGTAACTTTTTTCATACACGATTTAACTGACCTTGAGTCATATTATGATATCAACCTGTCTAAGGTTTAACATAAACTCAGTGTTTAAGGCTGAAGACAAGTAGATCTTTTTCCATGTGTGAACAAATGATGTACTTCTATTTGATGCGCTGGTACTGATTTTAGAATAGAGAATTCTTATGCTTTCGGGTAATATCCTATTCTACTGATATAGGAATTTGAAGGCTGTTTGCATATGTGTATAGTGAACTTGTTCAGGTTATAATCAATTGGTCGAAACAGCCTCTCTACCTCCCTAAGGTTAGAGTAAGGTCTACGTACACATTACCCTCCCCAGACACCACTTGTGGGATTCCACTGGGTATGTTGTTGTTGTTGTTTAACGCTGGTGTCCGCATAGAAATCCAGGAACTCTGAAGTAATTTTAAATTTCATGGGCAAATGGAACAAACTAAAGAGCTCCTCTCTGATACTTCACGAACGATGTCCCCTTGGTTAGAATTTCTTCTCAGCTACGTTATAGACCAATGGATTACAACCTGCAGAGAAGAAAGTAAATCAAAACCTTCAGAAGAAGTTTGAAGTTGAATAGTGAAACTTAAGCGACCAATTAAATCTATGCAAAGTACTTTTGGTTAGACAATATTTATTCTCATTTTCCATGATTATGGAAGAAAATGATACTGAAGATGAACTGAATAGAAGGTCGAAAAGATAAAGTCATAACAAGCTACGAAGGAGCTTCTGCGCTTAAAAATATTAATCAACATGATAACCACTAAAAGAAATATGTGAATTATCAGATGTTTGTGCTTTTGATAATGCTTGCTATAGGTAATGGTATAACCTAAAAAATCTGTCAACTTCCTGTCATGTCATTCCCGCTGAAGGTCTTGCAGGTATGTTACACGAGGTAAAAATTTGAATATTGGGACCTTAGTCTGAAAATGTATCCAAGTTTGGGATGAACAATATCTGGTGATTGTGAAGACGGACAAAGGAACGCTGTACATGCTATTGTACGTATATCCGGGGGTATATTCACCTCTGCTATATACTTATTAGGTTAAAGAAAATTTAAATAGAGTGTATTTTCCACCTTGTAAAAATCTAGGTTTCTGTTTAATCATGGTAAAAATTACATTTAGGAGTCTGTCAAACAGATTGATGTGATCAGTACGTCTGACATCTTATGTATTTTGTGAGCGGTTTTAGTGCATGTTCTTCCGATTGGTTTGCTTGTCATTGCCCCTTTCCTTTATCTTTTTTGAGACGAGAGTCTACCAGAAACAACCTCTGTGCCTTCTTAAAGATAGTGTGGGAATACACTGGGTTTGTTGTTATTGTTCTAGTGCATGTTCTATGAGATCTCTGCTCTTCTTGAGTTAAAGCTCAAATATCTTGCTGAGTTGAGGCACTACTTAAAGCATCTAGTATAACGAGTTTTTACAATGATGCTATGTATGTTCTCCATTTCACACCCATGTATCACTTAATTTTGAAGCTATTGAGTTGAAGAATATGATTATTAAGCAAGCAAAGCTACTGTGCTCTTGCAAATTCTCTGCCTTCTGGAATGTCTTGCAAGCTAGTGCTTGTTTGGCCTTGTGCGACCATGCAGAGTCCGCTGGATTGTCTGCCTTACTGGCATTTTTAAGACATAAATTCGAATCTGTTTTTCTGTTAACTTTGTGTTCCATTACCTTGTACATTCAAGTGTTGTTTCTCTTGCTTGATTGTAGTTTATAGTCAGTCTGGAAGCCCTTCTTCTACTGGATGTTACTTCTTTTGGCTTCTATGCTCTTAATTGATCATTGTGTCTATTCCTCAAGTAGCTGTTGAAGACATAATTAAGTAAATAAAAGTGTGCTATCTCTAACAGCTTAATTAAGCTTTTAGATGAGATGGTCACACACACTTCAACATGGTATAGGAGAGGTCTCGGGTTCAAGTCTCACTGCCACCCAATATCAAAACGAATTTTCACGTGCTTGGCTCAAAAAAGAATCAAGCCCGCATGTGAGGGAGCGTGTAGAAGACATAATTAAGTAAATAAAAGTGTGCTCCCTCTAACAGCTTAAGCTTTTAGATGAGATGGTCACACACTTCAACAGTAGCTTCATGTTCATATTGGATTATTTCTCCTTTTGAAAAATCATATACTTCATTGTACAATGCAGGTGATTCAAGGAACGGCAACCATCCATTGATTGAATAGACCCTGTAGTTTACCTAGTTTAAATCCATACTCGATTTTCGTCCAAGCAACATGAAGCCTCCAAATTTCAATTTGGAATCAGAAGACGAGTCTGAGGTCAGCAGCTGCCAATTAGGTTCAAATATATATGTCCAAGAAACATGTCCTGGTCCCTCCAAGGACAGCAGTACCAATTCCTGCCTGACAAACTCTTTTAATCTTCAGCAGGATTCAAAGCCTGTTACTCTTGACTTGACTCTTGGCTTTAACAGCAGTGATCCCGAGTTGAACGCCAATGGTGAGACAAGTGATGAAGTAGTACCCCATCCTCCAACAGCAGCATTATCCAGGATTTTCTCATGCAATTTCTGTAGGCGCAAGTTTTACAGTTCGCAGGCTTTAGGAGGACACCAGAATGCACATAAGAGGGAGAGGACTTTGGCGAAGAGGGCAATGCGGATGGGAATGTTATCG